GGGGCCCAGACCGCTCATCCAGCAAAACATGGATCACCCATTGTGAGATCCACAACGAGACACGCACTGGGAGTTCAGAGAAGTTAATGGGGTTCCTACGAATATATCATGAGAGTCTAAACAGCCTCGCCACCAAACACCTCACGCAACTGGCATTCATAGGATTTTAATCAGTCTGGTTCTAGTTGTTGGTTGTGTGGCGTTATAGGACCTCAGAAAGGTACAACAAACCTATAATATCCTATAATTAATTATGATTCATGATGGCAGCACATAGACACATAGAATATGAACCAATCCAACTCGTGGGTTCTACTGTTGAGAAGATTGCTGCACCAAAATTGGTTTGATCTATACTTACTCCAGCATGGACAGACATCCACATTTGGAGATACCTGTGGTTCGGGCCAAGCTGCGCTGAGGTTGGTTCCAAGCCCTTCGATGAGGCGACTCTTGCGTCACGCGACTCTGCCGGGTCGATGAGATTGGAGATTGGTCAGATTTGAGGTGACCCCATCCAGACCATCCATGTATGGAATGGTTACTTGCATCAGGGTCATAACATGATATGGTGTAAAATGTATGTCAACCATTCAGGAACTGCTGCAGCTGAGTCGGTTGAGTGCCTTTCTGAAGCTTCCAGTACTATCACAGAATGACTTCTATTGTGCGTGCGTTCGGAAGAATGCTTGCTGATCCCCTTCTCGCCGAGTGTGCATATTGATACAGATCCTTTTGAAAACATGTGTGTGAAGGCATTCCTTTGGGTGCTTAGGATTCAAAGCAAGCATCCAGCTGGATGCGTCGCATGATTCTGACCGAAAGCCGGGCTGGGTCACATTGTTGATGTTTTTGGTCCAGGAGGGGCTGAAGGGACATCCATTCTTGGACTGAAGATCTGAGGCTGTGGACCTGAAGATCTGTGTTCGGAACACCTCCTCAGCTGCGGACCGCAGAATATTCTTGACATGGGACTGCTCCCAAAGGCATTCCCAAAGGCTACCTGGCTACCTCTATCTGAGGCAAGGCAAAATGACCTGCTCTAATCCAACCAACGTAACTTAAGCTGCACAGCTGTTCCAAAAAACACGTGTACTTACATGGGGGCACAGAGCATTTGAGGTTGGTGATCTTGGACTGAACGAGACAGACACAGCGAGGCAGCCGTACAGCGGCTACGCTTCATCCTGCTGGCCGCCGTGACGGCGGCGGCCATGAATGTCTCCCGCGCAGGACGTCCGGGTGCATGTGCGCTCGGTTCACCGAGCGCACGTGGGTGTAGATGTAGGTTGGTGGATAAGGTGTTGGAATGGAAAGGGTTGAGTTAATTTTGTTTCTGTTGCTTTTGAATCACGAAAAGATCGCAGGTTTGGACAGATGGCTCAATTAGTTAAAGAGGCGTCCAGGAACAATCAATAATGACAAACACGGATGGCTCGCCAGGGGAAAGCTAGGAAGATGAGTGTTATTCATTAGCATGTTTAAACCTCGATGTTGAGGGAAGACAAGATCAAGATGCCCGATGGCCCCCATGGTGGTTAAACCTCGATGTTCAGAAAAGATCAAGATGTGAGGGCTCTCAAAGCCCACCCATGCCTGGAAAGCACGACCAGTGTTCGAACCGAGCTTCGCAACGACCTGCAGAGTCGGGCTCAGCAGGTGAGGTGCAGAAATGGACCACCAGACCCGGTCACCAATTACCGTGTGTGTATGGGTATGGAAATCTATATGGTCTATAAACCGTAATTATACTCCCTTTGGAATATTGAGTTGAGCCATCTACTGGGCATTCCTGAAAACCGGCGTTGCGCCATCTACTCCCCACATTGGGCGGCTAAGCATATCAGCTCCGATAGACTAAAGTAAAAGCAATCGAGAAACCAGGCACAAATGTTAGCAACGCAGATGCCACAGCGAGGAAGTTTTAGCCAAGTAGATGCCGCATCATGGAGCAACCAACCACAAGTTTTTGCCAAGTAGATGGCGCATCATTTTTGACACTGACAAGTCCTGTCGCCACAATAGTAACTTTTTGTCGTGGCCTGGGAGGGTAGATGGTGCTCTCTTCCAGATTGGGGTTGCGCCACTGCCACCTATAGCTTTTTACGGAGTGTTGTTTCGTTCGGGTCTTGCACAGTCCGTGACTCGTCCGTTGAGTCCGGTTGACTCAGAACGGGGTGGTCAGCATCGTGACCATCGTTCCAGGCTGTGACCCCCCGCGAGCGGAGAATCTACGCAAGGCCGCTGCGACACCGCGTCGGGCGAAACGGCGCCGTTGAGATGAAGATTTGGAAGGTAAAAGGCGGTAAAAGGACTCAAATGCAAGAAAGAGGTCAGGTCCAATGATGCTGCAATTGGATTATAGATTGTTTGGGGTGCCCACCCACATTGTAATTGACAAATTGCCAAGGGAACGGTTGCTCAAGTGGAATCCAAAAGGTTTTGGGGCCAGTAGTTTATAATCTTTGAAGGTGTTTTCAAGTGAAGGACATATATAGAACCCTTCAACACAAGTACCAGTGTTTGTTTGTTCCGGAGGGCATTTTGTTTTGTTGGTTTTCCTTTTTGATATGTTTTTTGTTCTACCTGTTGCTTTTGTGGCTTTTGGCTTTCTTGGCTTCTGTGGGGTTCTAGCTTTTTTGGCTTCGTGGCTTCTTGGCTTGCGTTTTTTTGGCTTGTCGGCTTTGGGTTCCGTTTGGTCACTGGTCTCTTGTTCCTTTGGTCCCTGGGCCCCTTGTTCCCTAGGTCCGGTGGCTTAGTGTTGTGATCCTACAAGTTGGTAAAGCAAAAGAAAAGCAGTTCAATATAGATTGTGTAATGCGCTTGTGTTAACGATACTAACTTGTGAAATGTTTGGTTGTGTAATTGTGTTTCATAAATTGTAGTACAGTATATATGTATATTATTGTCTTACTTTGTTCAATTCAAACGGCAATTGTTCATAACATGCATAATAATAGTTTGTAAAATTATGGAACATACGAAATATGAACATATTATTTGTTGATGATCCATTTATGAACATGATCTGAACAAATGTGTGTTTCTTTTCCAATGGTCAACTTCCTTTATGTGTGTTTGTAAAACCGGTTTCATATTTTTGGTTATATGCATTAAACAAACACAGTAAGCGAAATGTTCACACACATAAATACAATTGAAGACTTAGTCGCGTACCCGACTTGTCAGATCACACACCTATATAGTGGCTTTGGGCTTTTGTTGGTTTCTGTGACTTTTGACTTCAGTGGCTTCTGCGGCTTTTAGCTTTTGGTGGCTTGTGTGGCTTTGGGCTGGTCTTTGATGGGTTCTCTTTTGTGTTTTTTGGATTTTGATGGCTGGTTTTTGATGATTTAGCATTTGGTAGCTTTTTTAGTGGCTTGGCACTTGGTTTGCTCTTGAGGGGGGGTTGCGCTGCACCCTCCTCCAAACGGCCCAGACAGCCTCCAGCTCTTTCAAGCCAAGCCAAGCCTAAGCAGTTTAGGGTGGGGGATGGCCCCTTGCCACCAACCCCTAGGCCCTAGACTCCAGTGTTGGAAAATAATGGTGCATGTGTTATTCTTTCTTGTGCCTTCATGCCATTTGATATAAAGAGATTAACATGATAAAATTGCATGTGAAAAAATGAAAAGGATGCAATTAATTTTGGTTTTCTCTTATTTCCTTTTCATTTATTAATTAATTCTCCATGACATGAATTTTATCCCTCCAAAGCACCAGGGGTAGTCCAGGTGGCCGGGAATCTTCCTAAAACCCCATAAGGAGCCACCTAGAAAAACGAACCAAAAAACAAGCAAAATCTTCCAAAAAGAGGAGCAACAGCTCTTCCTTCAGGACACCGACGGCCATCCACACGTAGGTCGTACAATGAAAGGCTTAGAAGACTGAACATTTGCTGGCCAAGTGCTGATTGACCCAGCGATCGGCACAAATAACCAGAAAACTCACTGGCGGTGCAGTGAAACACCCGCACCTATAAAAGAAGAATGATCTGTTGCCCAATGCTGCCCATCTAAAAGATTTGTACTAATGTACTACAGTCTCCCTCCACAACTCCATCCAATCCAAGACATTAAAATCCCCAGCCCGTCTCGGCAGTGTTCCCAGCTCGTCGCAGCGGGGGAACCTCTTCCCAGGTCATGATGAAGTAATGGCGGCCGATTTGATGCGTCATTTGAGCGGCGGATGGACCATGGATTAGACCCAATCCGGCGGATGTTTTGGACCCATTCAGTCGGATGTGAGTGGTCACCCCCACTACCCCTAGCCCCTCCCAAAAGCACCTTCCCGTGGATCCCCGACATGGATTCCACTGCTGCTTCGTACCCGGCGTCGTATGCATTGATCATCGCTGATCTATGGAGCTTGCGTTGCGCCACTTAGCCCGAGAAAGTGCGGCGTAGCGAGCGAACAAGGGTGTTGAGTTCTTGTGGCAAGAATTCTCAGCCATGAAATACGTTGCAGCAAAAGCTGGGCTCTTCACCATGGCCCATCCACGCTGGTAGGAAGGCCCTATAAGTTATGGCCCCTCAATCACATCAAGCCGGTCCGGTCCACAGTCAGGATGATCGTCATAGCCGGACACGCATTGGAGGAATAATCAAGCACAGGTGTCAAACACATGTTTTGATGGAGGAGGACATCCAGCACCAGGTTGGACATGCAAAACACCGTACATGAAATAATTACATCAGTCAGAGTCTAAGGAACGGCTACCACTGCAAGTTGAGATTTCAAACCCAAGATCCAGCTGTGCAAAAACCTCTCCTGCTTACTGCTTAGAATCGAAGAACCACCCACTTGATGAGAGTCTAGGGTCGATTTGAGAGAATGACCATTTGACCCTGTTTGGAAACGAAGAACTTGTTGAAATTCCCTTTCAAACCATAGTTCCTCAAAAAATATTCAAGAAATTGAAACGATGAAGCTCCAGAATCGAACAATAATTTCTTCCGGATTCGATGAAGCTCCTCACCACGGGAAATTGCTGGTGAGTCGCCATGCCTGGCCGGGTTGCTCGGGGACGCAGGGGGGGCGCGGGGAACGGAAGATTGATGACATTATATATAGGAGCAATAGGTTTCGCGCACCGAAGTGCAATATATAGTATATAGGTTGAGCTATGTTGAGAATGATTGTTGTATTGGCCCCTGACCCAACATAGCACCCACTTGGCTGAGAAAATTGCATTGTTACAGCCATTCTTCAGAACCGTGCTCAACTATTATTGATAGTCGCTAGCTCACTGGAGAGTTACTGTATGAGAAGTTACGAGGTAGGATCCGTAAAGTAGCTTTCGTCGAGGGGTGAGTGTCAAAGTTTGTTTCATGTCACAACGGGAAGGTTGGCAGCGTTTGAAATTGCCAAAATTGTTAAAGTCCAGGCAAGGCAAGGCCGAATATTTCATGCCCCTATAGTCTATATAATACATTATATTACTGTATATAATCCTGCAAGGCTGTGACATTCGCTTGATGGTCCACTCGACCGTTTCGCGTTGCACAGACACGACCTAAGTTGTCAGACTCTTGGTGTTCAATGGTTTTCATGGGTGGTGGCTACCCGGCCTGGTCTACCCTCCTCTGGTGGAGCTCGATGAATCAGATTCCATGCACCATGTGCAATGATGGCAGGCGATGATGGCCTGGCCCAGATGCGCCTGGGATTTCGAAAGGCGGGCGCAACGATTGGCCAACTCCAGACCTCATAACGGCAGCCATAGCCTTCTAGGATGTTCGAAAAGATTCTGGAGAGTACATCCCTGAAAGACAAGTTTCCTCGACAAGACGCGCCTTCTCCACTCCCTACTGGCACAATTCACATCAAACACTCCGGCCGAGAGAAGACCGAAACGCCCGGATCTCAAAGGTTTCAAGGTTCCCTTCCTTTCTTTGGCCACACGAGCGTTCCAAACAAACATGTGTTTGCGCTTTTGCGTTTCGTTTTCCTAGTTGGCCATGTCGCCAAGGACATGACGGACACAGGCACGGCCCGTCGCCAGGCCCTGGCACGGCGGCTCTTCGAACTTGAAGGTGAGCGAGCGCTGACACGGAATGGAGGGCGTGAGCGAGCGCGTACAGCATTTGAGGCTTGTTTGAGTGCTTCGCTCTTTATTCGAGTCAAGTGAGGTGGGGGGACATTGTTTGAGAGCCCAGTGGTGAACATGCTCATTTTGTTCTCTACAAACGGGGTGGTTTCCACTTCCATGTTAGTGAGTTGGAGTGTAGGTGATGTTTAGTTTTGCTTTGGGGATTGAGCTGCTGGGTGGATCTGAGTCACGGTGCAACTCTCGAACTTCCACGACAGCATGACCAAGAGGGTCACAAGTCTTTGCACTACAAGGTGTTCAGAAAGCGCAGGGGTCACTGTTTAGCAACATGTGGTAAGTCATGGTACGCATCATGGCAAGCAGTTTACACACATAATCAATCATAATCATACATACATACATTGATGCATTCATACATACATACTTACACGGCTCAAGGACTGATCTGGCTCAAGCCTCACGCCCGGAGTATAGTACTTCGGGCGAGCACGACGGCAAGTTCACCCACCTCCCTGACCTTGTCTTTGGCCAGATCGCGGAGGGTGCGGTGTTCCATGACTTCGGGAGGCAAATGGTGCAGAGCTTACCAGGTATGTGGCGGTGGAGGCTGCTTCAACTGGATTTGGTCGGACAAGGTGCGTGAGGGCTATGTTTGTCGGAAATGCGGAGAGCAATGGCCCCGCCCACCACAGGGGTTCTCAAAAGCTCCACCTTCTCGCTCACCTAAGCGGGGGCCACGACAACAACTTCCAGTGCCACCCCCGCCGGGCCTGACCTCCAAGACGCCCAAGATGACTAAGCTCCAGAAGGCCACTGCGGAGGCACTGGCCCCTACTTGGACCACTTTGGACCCAGCTTTGCAACAGAAGCTCCAAGCCTTGGGGATTTCGCCGCCCCCTCCCTCACCGGGGCCGGACTTGAAAGACATCCTCATGGAGAATCTGGCTCAACTCCCTTCCAATGTTCGGGAAATTGTCGAGAAGTTGACCAAGCCCTCTCCGCCAACCGAAAAGGATGTGGCCTCAAAGCTGAAGACTCATGTGTCCATGCTGAAGGACCTGTCCCACAAGAAGAACACGCTTCAGCAGCGGATTGACTCGACCAAAAAGGCCTATCAGGACCTTCTTGAAGAAATGAAGGCTATCCAGGGCCGCATCGAGTCTGAGCAGCGCTCTCTCCAGGACACCAGCACCTCGTACATGAACTTGGTCAACTCAGCAAAGCCTGACCTTGCTGGACTGCCTGAGGCAGGGGGCGGTGACCCAGTTCCAGCGGCTGTAGCAGGTTTCATCAACACCCTTGGTGTCAGTTTGACGGAGGACCAGCAGCTTCAGCTCCAGAACATGTTAAAAAGGCCGCCAGCTGATACTGATGAGGAAGCCAAGCGACGCCGAACCGACGGCACGGATCAGTCTTGCGGGTAACCCCGCACAGGTGCTTCATTCATCTTTGACCTTTACACAGGGGTTTTCGGCAATGCACCCTTCCGATGTTGGTGCTGGGCTGGTGATGCGGCCAGAGCGTGGGGACACTCCCACCAGGCCGTGAGATCCTTTCTGTCTGAACCGGAACCTCAACTTCTTCCTCATCTACCTCACCTGGAACAGATTTGGAACCGTTTCCGACGGGGGGGCAGGCCGATGCGGCGGACTTCTTGGGCTACCTATGGCACTTTGCCGGCTCCAACTTTTTCCAAGGGAAGTTCTTTCACCGGATGGAACAGGGCCACACTGAGGTTCGTGAACAGATGCCCTTGAACTTGTTGTTCCCTCCACGCCAGTCCCCGACTGCCCTTGATGAACTTGTCAACCTGTGGAGTGATGAAGGGGGTGGTCAATTCTTGTACGGATCACCGGATGCCCTTGTCCTTCAACTGCAACGTTTCCAATGTGTTGACGGCTCTTGGACCAAGCACTCCAGTGAACTCGATATTGGTCAGGACATCAACTTGCCCTTTTCCGATGATGGAAAGAATGTGCATTGGGGCGCCTACCGGATAGTTGGCCTGGTCCTCCATCAAGGAGAGGATCACCTCACTGGCCACTATCAATCTATCCTCCTCATGGACAACATCATCTGGCTGGCGGACGATGGGGGATTTCCCACTCCCTTGGCGGGGCTGACCGCTCAACAACGCAGGGAGATCCTCCAAGTCTGGCTGGTCAAGGAACCGGAGGATGAGCTTGTCCAGGACACCCAGGCTGAGATGGAAGCTCCACTTGCCAAACGGCAAAAGAACAATCATGAGACCCTCACCCTGCTCTTTGGCAACGTCACGCATTTTGGAGCCAAAGTACAAGACTGGACTTGGTCACACGGCGATGCCCTCCTTTTTCTTCATGAAACTCATCTTGGAGATGAAGGCACAGCCAAGGCCATCCAGTACTACTCCAACCGGGGATGGAAGGCGTATGGCCAGGCGGCCCACCCCACGAGCAGGGGGGCACTACTGGGGGCTTTCTGACCTTGCACTCCACCAGACATCTCACTCACCGAGGGCTATCCTTCACCCACGAAGGCAATGGGTGGATGTCAGTGGGGCTTCAACGGCAAGGGCTGATGATCTACATCATCCAGATCTATCTCAAGACCGGTGAGACCTTGCAGTCAGCTGCCAATTCTCTCATTTTGAGCAAGCTCTTGGCTTTCCTTCATCACTTGCAGGCTCCTTTCATCATTGGGGGAGATTGGCAAAATGAGCCGGAAGCGCTGGCCTCCAAGGTCATTCAAAGCAAGTTCCGGGCCACCATTATGGACACTCAAGGCAATACCACCCTGCAGGGCAGTCAATTGGACTACCTGCTGGTCGCCAACTCCCTCGCGGGCTCCATTCACCTCAGGGCTTTCTGGAAAGTGCCCTGGCACCCTCATTGTGCCTTGGAAATCAAGCTGAATTGTGCACAGCCGGCTCAGCCTGTTCAACAGCTTCAGAGATTTCCTCCCATTGGTCGCACTTTCCAGCTTCCACACCTGTGGACCAGTTTCTCCGAGGACAATGGCCCTTTCCACATCATGGATGACCTCATCACCGGACTGGGTTCTGACTTTGCACGCTGGGCTACGCAAACTGAGAAGTTCACCACCCAGTTGCTGCACAAACCCACCTTGGGAAGGGGTTCCAACATTTCGCTCTATCATGCGCCCTTGGTGGACACCACGACCTCCAAAAAGTGGCTCAGGGGAGCGGCGGCCTTCTGGGAAAAGCTCAATGTTCGCATCAATGTGGCCCACCACATGGGGCACAAGTCTATCCTCCAAGACATTCGGCACATGCTCCTGGATATCCAGCACTACTGTTCTGAAGATTTTCAGGCGGACATCTTCAGCGCCCTGATCACCCAGTGGCTCGACATGCCCTCCCAAGACCCTTCGGAGTTACGGGCACAGATCCTGGAGCAAGAGCAACAAGCGCAGAAACAAGCATTGCAATCCACCAGCTTTGAGTATGGCTGGCTAAAGCTCACCACAAAAAAAAACTGCGGGGACTTTTCCGCAGCCTTCCGCAGCGAGATCAAGCGTGGCAGCGGCCTTTTCAAGATCTACCTGCCCTTGCTCGCATCACAGCCAGGGAACAACAGTGGGGAGGAATCTGGGAACCCTTGGCCGAACCGGTGGCTCTCAGAGGATTTGAACAGCTTCGCACTCTCGCTCAACAGGAGGCACTCACTTGGAAGCCGATTGACTCCTCCCTGCTGCAGAAGCTCCTTCGAAGACTCCCCAACAAAGCAGCTGGTCCTGACGGTATCTCTTACGACATGTTGAGGCACCTTCCGTACCCTGCAGTGGCCCGACTTGCAAGTCTTCTCACAGAGATGGAACGGGAGGCTCTTCTCCCCATCCAGATGCGCTACACCAACATTGTGCTCATCCCGAAGAGCAGCAAGGTCGAAAGGCCCATTGCATTAACCTCCTGCCTCTATCGTGTCTGGAACTCCTACAGGAAGCACGACATCCACAAGTGGCAGATGACCCTGGATGACGCCTTACCATGGGACCAAGCTCGACCCCACCGAGACTGTCTGTCCATTGCAGTGGGAAGGATGTTAAAAGCTGAGATCCGGAAACACCAAGGAATCCACACGGTCACCTGCCTGGCGGACCTTTCCTGTTTCTACGACACGGTCAACTTGGACCACATCATCGAGCCAGCCGCGGACCTGAACTATCCCCCGGTTCACCTCAAGCTGGCCCTGGACCTGTACCGGGGGCCTCGGCTCATCCAGGCCGAAGGGATCGCTGGCAATCCTACTCACTATGCCAAGGGCATCCTTCAAGGCTGCCCGCAGGCACCGGCCATCAGCAAACTCATCCTCTATCGTCCACTACAAGCCCTGCAACGGGAGCATCCTGCTGTGGCCCTTCAGACGTCTCCTATGACATCTGTGGCTCAGATCCCGACTACGTCGCCCGCGAGGCAGTCCTGGCCTATCGTACCCTGAGGGAGCATCTCACTCAAGCTGGTTTGAAGGTCAACACTGACAAGACTGGCTTCATTTCCAGCAGCAAAGAGACCGCCAAGGCCCTTCAGATCTTGCTGACCGACCAAGACCCTCAGCACTACAATGTCCTGCGTGACTTGGGAGTCGATGCAACTGCTGGGCGTCACAGGCGGGTTGCTCAGGTCAAGAAACGGTTCCTCAAAGGGCGTGGGAGAGCCGGCATTCTTTTCCGCCTCAAGCTGCAGAGGAACATCCGCTACCGGCTCCACAAGAGTGCAATTCATCCAGTGATGTCCTGGGGGGCTCAGGCCAACGGTTTGGCCCCACAGAGAAGGCAATACATCAGGGTGACTGCAGCCCGGAGCCTCCAGCTTCAAAGATCCGGCTCGGTGGACATTGTGTATGACATGAATCAGCAACATCCAGATCCTGGAGACTCCATCATCGAACAGCACTTGCACTCGGTCTGGAAGATCTTCCACTCCTTTGATGAGAGCACCCAGCACCTTTTCTGGACTAGCTGGAACGTTGCCTTAGGCGCTCTTCAGAAAGTTCGTTACCGATGGCAGGTTGTCAACGGACCACTCCAGGCCCTACAGGCTTACTTGCTCGACTACGACTTTGATTTGTCTGATGGGCACGAATGCTGGCCTACTCTACAGTTCAAGCTCCGCGCTGAATTTCGATGGCAACGCCTCCTCCGTATCACCAGGTATGAAGGCTGCCACGATTTGGAGAGGCTCTTGGATTGGCAAGTCAGCTTGACTCTGCAGAAGATGTCGGGAGACACTCTTGGCCCGGGCCTCCGGGCCCTTCACCAAGGGACCCTTCACGGGCAAGATGGCCGATGCCCCTTGTGCGGAGAGGAGCTCACCTTCATTCACCTCCTTTGGCAGTGCAGCTTTTGGAAGGGTAAAGCCAAAGACCTCCCTGAACAGTGGAAGGAGCGCTTGGCAGCGGGCACAGAACCTGAGCTCTGGCAGCGGGGTCTCGTCCAGTCCATCTTCTACCTACAGGATGGAGGCTTGAGCACTTTCCAGTTGGATGGACTCTGGACGCCTGATGAAGCCTTTGACATCCCCACGGGTCATGCAGTGTCCTTGGCGGTTGCTCCCACTTGTAAGGACGTGCGCCACAAGCGGTATGTCTTTGTGATCTGCCTACACCATGTCTTCACTCGCAAGCTGACTGCCACCTTCAAAGGCATCTGCCCGGGCCAGGCCATCAGGAGCAGGGCTGTGTTTTATGCTTTGAAACATTTGGCCCTCCACAGCAAGGAGAAGGTCACTGTCGCCATTTATGACCACGCAGTTTGGCGGGCATGGCAAATGTCTAGGGCCTGCGAATGCTTTCCGGACCTTTTTGAAGGTCTTGAACCGGATGACTTCACTCAGGTTCGGCCCTTGCTGTTTGGAAAGAAGGAGCTTGATCCCAATGCAGCACGGCATTTCTTCCAGCAAGACGCTGAGAAGGAGGCCAAGAAGTTCGCCAAGGCATCCAGGAATGAAGACATTCTGAACTTGCAAAAGAGCATTGATGAAGACACCAGAGACATTTTGTGCGTCGCAGCTGGCAGGATGAACACTCTCCTCAGGGACAAGTCCCATTTCCTGCACAAGGCTGACCAGCAGGAGAAGCACCAGAAGGTCCCCTTGATTGCCCAAAAGAAAGAGCTCCTTCAACAGCTGCTTCACCGGCCGGACGCTGGTGGCCACTCATGGCGGCCTTTTCGCTCTGGAGCCCAGTGCTCTCAGTGCAAGCAGCGGCTGCACTCGAAAAGCCTGGTCGGCGACCTCAAAGGTGCCCTGGACTCCACCTGTCTGATGGCAACTCCTAAGACTCCTACCAGGCGCACTCGCTTTGAGGTGGCCAATGATCTCATTGCTGCCCAGTCTGGCGTACAGAGGGGAGTGCACCATTTGAGGCTTGAAAAAGCTTACTTACGGTGTTCAGAGTGCCATGACTACATACTTGCACGCTGTCGGGAGGAAGCATTTTGCACCTTCGTTGGAGCTCCTTGCAAGGTGGGGCCACTGGAACCTTCTATGTGGGAGGGTCACCCCTCCCACACTATGGAGCGACGTGGGAAGGTGGCAACATGCACACGCTGCGGAGGCAAGGCCAAGATCGTGGAGGAGAAGCTCGAACCCACCGAGCGTCTCAGAAAGAGATGCGAGGCCCAGCAATCAAAGGATTTGCGGGCCTGGTTCACGTGAGCACTCATGCACAGAAAAGGCGTGCAAAAAAACATACATACTTACATACTTACATACAGACAGACAGACAGGCAGGCAGGCAGGCAGACAGACATAATAGTTACTACATCTACATAAAACTACAGTATACCACGGCCCACGGCGAATCACATCAACGAACTGCACGGACCTGACAGGCGCTGGTGGCAGGCAAGCTGACGGATTCACACTGATCTGATTGATTCGGGTGGCCAGGGTTTCCGTGCTTCCACTCAACATATCGGTCCCATGGCTGAGTGTCATCCTATGCCATGAAAGCAATGGTCATTCTCACAGCGGCGAAACAGACCCTTTGGGGACCCCACCGGATCGCACCGGACGCCATTCCGGCCGTTCCGCCCGCGTTATGCCGCGAGAGACGACTCGGGGGAGGTACAGCCCAGAGGAGCGGTCTGCCTTTGAGAATGGCTACCGTGCAGCGGTGCAAGATGTACTGGTGATGGCGGGGCCGCGATGGCGAGATGGGGAACAGATCCGCCCTTTAAGGGGAGCTTCCGGTCCATTGGTGATCAAACAACATAGAGGGAACGGATCCGCGTGTGGAAGCTTTTGACAGGTTGGAGGGTGCATCTCATGTTTTCTGTCAACATTGTTCAAAGATGCTGCAAAGAGATTCTGCAGTGAAGAGATCAAAAAAAGGTCGAATCTTCAGAAAGAGAAGTCGAACCAAGCATAACTGTGGTCACATTCTGGAGTGGAGTCCACGTCGTCTACGTGGATTTGGCTTCGTGTTTCACGTCTTCCGACTCCGTGAGGTTGGTGCTGGTCTCGCTGGGATGGCCTTCCTCACGGTGTGTTCGGAACCCAAGACGGGGGGCATGTCTTATAGTGGGATCTTATGGGTAAGACTCCAGAGGACCGACCTGGAAGTTGCACCTGGTGGGTGAACTGGTGCTGAGCTCCGGTCGAGCCCCTGGGTGTGCGGACAGTGGATGTGTTGGGACCCTGCCAGATCCTTTTTGCCAAGACTCTGCGAGGGACTGGCTTTGAACGAGAGAGCGTCAACATGACAAAACGTGATCTCCGTTCGAACAAGATAAGGACCGGTGAAGAATGTGAAGAATAGATGCGACACGATGTATATAAATCATCCGGATTCATGGCGGTGGAGCACGTTGGCCCTGCTGCCATGTTCATTTTCTGCGCGTGCGAGGCCTTTCCCCAAGCCTCTATCAGAAGGTCGCAGTCGGATGATGGGCCTGTGTGCTGCATGTTGCATGCATATAGGGTTTTGGTGTCCATGGTCTTGCAAACACCTTCTACCCAGGTGCAAGACCTTCTGCAAGACCTATATGGTTTCATAGGAGTAATCCGAATCATACACTCACGACGTCAGCCGATGTCTCACGACGTGCATGTTCCACAACCGTAGATTGGTGGGGCAAGAGGTTCCACCTGTAAACATCGTATTAGAATCACTGCGTTTTTCCTTGATTCGATGATTCGATGATCATTGGTCGTCGTCCGATGAGGGTAGACACTTTGGTCTACCCCAAGTCGACATGCAACCAAGGCTTCTGGGATTAGCAGCCTGGGATAGTCTCCAATAGACATGTTCAGAGAGGGTCCACATGACAATGATTGACAATGCATATAAAATATAAAAGCATCTAAACAGTACAGTGATAGCTAATCCACACAGGGTGACGCACATCACTGACAAACCCAAGACACTCCCTGTTTAGAATGTTGGCCAAACCATCAAAACCATTCAAAACCCGATCAGGGCACCTATCACCTGAAGAAACCAAACCTACTCCCCTCCTCACCCGACATGTTTTTTTCCCACCCTCGGAGGTGCGCGAGATGGTGCGGCCTTGGGTGGTGCGCCAGGTGGAGTCCCGACCCTGGGCGCTGTCCCGACCAAGCGCTCTTTCGCTCCGCCGGAGTGACCAAGACGGTGTTGCTCCAACAGCTTAGAAGGTGTTGGTGAGATCCGACAAGAGTAGGGAGTAGGGACGAGATGCGTTTTGTGTGGTGTTGGAGATGTTTCATGGAGGAGATTTGGGAACACGAGTGCTGATAGCAGTTTGACTATGTGTTATATAATCCGCTCGAAATTGATGGAAGAGCGCCACAAATTTTAACAGATGGAGTAGGATCTTGAATTTGAGGTTCTAGCTGAAAAAAAAGATGTCCATTCGCAGAACACATACACAAGTATTGCACGTCCTGAAAACGCTGACACGCTAACAAAATCCTTATGTTTGTGTGATTTGAACACATGTGCGCTGTACATTTTTTGAATGAATGATAGCGCACATCACCCCACAGCCAACACGGTATCCGTTTGCCTGTCCGATGCTGGGGAGGAAGGGTGATGTTAGTCAGGTGCAGACGCGCAGGGAGTTGTATGGCATTGTATGGCCGAGCCCCGTGTTCCTGGCGACTCGCAATAGAGGCGGCTCCCATCCTGGATGGGATTTTTTTTCATTGTCCGGGATTTCCCACTTTCCACTTACTCACCAAGCTTCGGTGGCGTCCGGTGATGTTTGTTCTTCATACACTGCTTCGCATGCTTCGCTTGAGCTGCTGAGGCTCGGCCGGCCATTTGTGATTTGGATCCAGAAGTTCAGGCGGGTGTGTTGATTGATTTTGGGTCTCAACCTCATAAGCAATTTCGTACAATTTCTTGTGCATTTGGAGTTTCACAGTATAAGGCATGGCTTTCCAAGCCGACATGTGGTTGAACAGAACTTCCCAACCAACGAGATGTAAGGATGGTCTCATGGACCTTGCAGAGCCTGAGACCAGAACAATTCAGGTCCAGAACTGTGGAGGGTTTATGGGCTTTAGGCTGTGACCGGAGTGACCAGCACCCGACGTGCGGGTAAGCAGGAACAGCGTAATTTCTACGCCTATCTCACTCTATGATAGCATGTCTCACATGTTCACGGGCAATAGGCGCAAGATTTCACATTTGTCTCACATCCGTCCAGTTTTCCTGGCAAAGATTTCACCGGGCCCTGGGGCGCTTCTGGGCGCCAGCCATCGTCCTTTGAGAGGCTTCACCATCGCCCGGCCGGACGTCGACCAGGCATCCCTTGCTCGACCGAATGCACTTGTTCGCCGCCAATTCTTGTGGAGTGCCCCTTTGCACCATTGTGTGGTGAGCGAATCTCATGGAACATGGTGCCGTCGTGTGTGGCTGCCATGCTGTTTTTTTTCCTCCATAGTGCGTATGCATACTGTTTGGTTTGGTTTTCTATGGTTTTCTAAGTCTTTGGGATGGTTGCTTGTGTGTGTGTGCATGTGCGTGTGCTCCATTCGCAGATTCCGGAAGAAAGCTTTTGAATCAAATGGACATGGACCGAGAGTCCGAGAGAAAGAAAAAGACAGAACACAAACAGAGGAAGGGGGGATAAATCATCAGCAGGATTTGCGGCTGCCTAGCCCCGGCAGATCATGGAACTCTGTACAGGACAACCTTTCAGATGCTATCATTCAAAGCTGTTTTGGGCCAGAACCCCACTGGTCACTAGCCACCTTATGTACAGGAGTTCTGTGAGCTCAATTGACAACTGGAGCCTTTAGTATCTCTTTGGCACGCACTCCTCGGTTGACCGAATTCAACACCACCCCCCCCCTGGGTGCCTCGGGACCCCCTTTCTGCGACCGCCATGGGGCGCCTGCGGACGGTGGCCCTGCGGAGCGGACGAGAGGCGTGGACGGGCGGGTGATGCCGGGTTTTGAAGTACAGGGTAGGAACACGAGGACGCTACTAGGAGCAAAGGGCATCGCTACTAGGAGCAAGGACGCTACTAGGGGCTCCTGGCCTTACTACTAGGAGCAAGAAGCTAGTAGAAACAATTAAAAGTAATTAGCTAGAATCTAATTAAAATTAGTAGCAAAGATGTAGTAGGATGTAGGATGCAGGGTGTGGTGGGGGTGGAGTGAAGGTGTGATGGTGAGGTGGCTTTGGAATTTGGTCCACACCATGGAGAGTGGGGCTTGGATTCAGCAGACATGGAAATTGTGAGTGGAATTCTTTGGATTCAGTTCAACACCGCATTGCGCTGATGACACCTGTCCCCGCTCAGGTTAGCTTGGACTTGAATGAGGACACGGCTATTCTTGTGAATGTGCGGATTCTGGGAACAATAGCCAATAGCTTCTTGTTTCTAATAGCCATGCACTTGTTACTATATACTAGTAAGGCACTTGTTCCTAGTAGCGATGCACTTGTTCCTAGTAGCTTCTTGAAGGGAAATGCCTTTCTGGAATCACGAGCCACCAGCCGACCCTTTGGCAAATTTGATGTTTCCTAATCTCAGACGGTGCTCGAAATGTGCCGTGAATCAGCGTCGTAGAACCAACAACCGGTGCGCCCCTATAATCGCCTAGACCATCTCAGGTTATAGTCACCTTTGAAATCCTTAGAACCCACCCGGATTGGTTGCCATAGCAGTGTGCAGCATATGAGGGAAGGCACCCGGCTGGACTGAACCAAACCGGGACCGTCCTTGTGGGTGGGGGCCCCAGGACTGAACCACTGGGGTGGGTTGCATGAAAGGGCTTCCACTCATGGATGGTCGAAACTTCGGTAGAGTCTGGATCATACAAAGCCTTCAAAACTACTTTAATAGAATGGCCGACCTGGTTTTGTAGTCAAAACTCCTTAGTGAAACAATAGTTCTTTGGCAAATGACAACAAGGTTTCTTGGAATCCCTGGGTGTACGTTTCCGCGAGCACATGCGAGCACAACCATTTGGTGCTTGGTTCGGACTCTGTGCAATCGGACCCCGGTCCGACTCTGCAGGAGATGAGCGTGCGGGAGTTGAGACAGCACGTCTTGACAACGCTCGGCCTGGTGGAGGCCACGATGATGGACGCGATGGCCACGGTATAGGACTCAGGTATGGCGCCTTCTGGCCGGATATGGCCGGTATGGTCACTGGCAGGCCTGCTTTTGCAGGTACATGCACTTGATTAGAAGTCCGGTATATATTGGATGTGGATTCAACGGTTCCCATAAATGGACTATAAACATATATATATATAACATATAACATTATTGTTGTGTTTTGCTATGTGTCATTTTTAGGACTTCCTGCAACAAGTGTACCGAGCTGTAGTTCTGAAGACGTTACACATTTTGCAAGCATTGCTCAAAAGTCTAACCACTCACCACACCCTGTGAGCATACCCTTCGCGTATTGTTTGGAGACTCGTGACTCGGATTGAGGTTTGATCCCAAATGGCAGGGCGATAAGTTCTCTTGAACATTTTCCTTCATATTCCTTGTTGGTAGGCTATCACTGCTCAACTTGGTTGTTGAGAGCATCAGAGGTTAGATCACTTGTACCTTTCTGAGTAGACCTGAATAGCAACAAACTATCTGTATAGATTGTTGAGACCTTTTTGGCAATCACCCACGCTTACCTTAGATCAGGCAAAGCGTGTTGTGTTTCAGAACCAGTAGATATGATGTTGTTCACGCAATTGCACGACAAATTAGATCAAATTAGCCCTCAGCTGTCAGCTGCACACATTATTTTCTATATGTTTCAAGTTTCGATGACAGGCAAACTGCAAGGAGCCAATGTCAGGAGCACCTGCCGTCCGATGTCGTTTTGTTTGGCCTGTCAGGGCAAGACATATAGAAAACCACCTGGTTGCTTGGTGAGGGTCTCAGAAGGACACATTGACATTTACTCTTATTGACTCCCGAGCCAAGAATGTGTAGAGTGTAGAGGGAAAGGTACTGTATATAGTTTGCTATGGACGTGCTAGAAGTTCATGTCTTTTTTGTTGTGTGTCCATATTAGCAGGATGGCACCTGTTGGAAGAAGGAAGCTTAAGAGATTTGGAGCGCAGTTCACTTTTCCAGGCCATCCATGCTTGGTGAACCCATGTTCCCAAGCTCCTTTCATGACCATGAGCCCACAAAACAAAAGAAATGAGATCCGAACAACCCTTTCATTGAAGGAAGACGTTCGATTCACGTCTCAACATGAATCGACCAGGAAGCCGCTCGGTCGGATTCGCGACTTCCTGCGACACCTGGGCGTTCCGCGGACTCGTCCGGACGTCGGAGGACTCAAGCGTTGCCTCGCCAGCAACCATTTGGTGGCCGACCTGCTCGGGCTGAAAGGAGAGATCGTGGCTCCTTGGATATCGAGAAGCTGAAAACCTTCCAGATGCCAACCTTCACGTCTTTGAACACTTTTCTCAATCCACCGAATGGTTGGGAATCGAGGTGTTCGATTCCACGGATTTTGTTTGATCTTGTTTGTTTTGTTGGTGGCAAATGAATGACAGACTTTCCATGCAGCCCGGCTTGGAGAATCAGCATTTGACACGTGATGCATGAAATAACGAGCATTGTTTCTGTGCATCCTCACTCCGCCCGTACTTTTGACCCAATGATGCATTCGGGGGTCATTTCCTTCTTGGGGCTTTCAGTCGTTTGCACCTCAAGTTTGGGCCAATATACCGTACTTGTTCATGCACCTCCCCCCCGGTGTGGTCGAAAAAAGCAGACTCGTCCATCCTCCGATTCGTTCGACGCCCGCAGACCACGTCGGCCCAATCAAAAGCAGGAAGATGAAGGCAGTGGCGCTATACTCGACACCCCAGAAGACACCAATTGCACAGAGGTGTTCTTTTTTTTGGTGGTAGATCATGTGACGGTTTTTTCTCGATAATTTACATGTCCTCTCGGTTCGGCAAAAACAGCTCTAAGCAGATGCATCGGGCATCACTTCATGTATAACGTGGTGCAATGCTGAGTCACTGCTGTACTGACCTAGCTGCCTAGCTCATGGAGTTTGCATCTTCCCAACTCATTCTCGCCAAAAAGGCAGCAGTGGTTCTTAGATTCGTTCATATTCTTTCCCAGAAAGGTTCGCCTAACTAGCCCATGAAAACGCAGAAAACGCTAAGCCCAACTAGCCCAAAGGGGTGAAAAGACTGAAAA